CCCCCCCCCCCAAAAAAAAAAAAAAAAAAAAAAAAGACTAATCAGCAAACTTAAACACTATAATAATAGTTTTAAGCAAGACAAAAAAAACTCAGAACCTGACCTTTTTGTTACAGGCATCATCTTCCCACCAAGAGGCTGCACATGCACTTCGGTCTTCCTCATCCTTCAAGCTGACTGGCTGGCTGGCTTAACATGCAGTGAAAAACGCACGCAGATCACATGAACTACATGCAAATCATGCAAACTCATCACAGAATTTCTCCAATACAAAGATCCGTAGGGAGTTCACCCATTTATGAAATGCATCGGTCTGGTAGCCAAAGAAACAGGCCTGTATTTATATTATAGTGTAGTGGAATCTGACACATATATGACTAAATATGGGTCTTTTAACCCACACCCTTCAATGTACACTCGTTCGAGTTTTTCTTGACACTGTAGAGTTTTTTTGCCTAACATTTTATCTTTATTTTGTGTTGTTTCTATATCATTTTGCTTATCTTCAGAGAGCATTAACATTGGACATATCTATATGTATATACAAATTATATATCAAAAGTGCAAAAATATACAAATTTAGTAATGAAAACAGAAACAATTTTACCAGGCTTTCAATTTATACCAGCTAATATAATTCCTTTTCATTCAATCATAAACAGCATAAAAAGAAAAGCAGTCCATACATTTTCATATCAAGACAATTTACCTCACAGCTACATTCACCTCAAAAACTGTCGGGTAATAGCACTTGCAAGTTCCAAACAGGGGAATCCATATAACCTTTCACATTTTCTAGCTAGCTCAGGTGTATATTCTTCCCATGTGTTATGTTATTTATTCCAGGATCTATGCATAACCTATGAGTATCTGACTTATGGGCCACAATTACTCAATTTGCCACAAATACGTCTGATTCAATCTGACATACTGAAATTTTAATTATAGGTATGACATTTAGTCAGCGGTAACAAATGTTGTTGCATGTTACAAATATAGATTTTATACAAAATCACAATAAAATAAATGTTAAATAATTTAAACAACTGTAAAACATAACTCTGAGAGCCTTTGCACTTATTCATACTGCAAGTTGTATGTTATATTAATGAAAATGATTCACAGGGGAGGGGCATATCAATTATTTCCATACTCCTAACTGTACAACAACAGGACCATCATATTGCCTTCCCAAGACATGTCATATAATCAAATTGTAAAATATATAAAATATGAGTAATATTACAGAATTATCAATAATCTATATAATACAATACTTGTTCATTGTAATTCTTTTTCAATTTTTATTTACTGTTTAAAAAGAAGCTCAGATCCCCACCACTGCATGTTATCCTTCAAATGAGAAATAGGGAAGCGATTTAACGAGGGTCCCATTGGGCATTTTCTTATCTGTGAAAGCCACTTTTTCTTCCCCAAGAAGTGTGAAATGCACATATTATTTAGCATGATCCATAAAGAACCCAATTCCTGCGACTAGTGAATGCAGCTTCATCATTTTCCATCCTATGTGAAACAAAATTATTAAACTCGCTGGTTCGTGATTTTCAACTCATAATACCTGTACACTTTCAATGAAATATGAATAAAGTCTTATTTACTGTGATTTGTGAATTAATGATTTTATTTCCTGTGAACTGCCCTCCCCCCGCCCCAATAGGATCCTCTTGAAAGGGCACACATCACTAACAATTATTACATAGGTGTATTTCACCCTTTAAAATCCACATTGTTGTTGATGTTTTTGTTTTTTTTTTTTTTTTCTAAAATAGTTGTAAATGTCAGTATTACTCATGTAAACTAATCCATGGCACACACTGATAAAAAAATTCAATGCCTCAATTCATTAGAGCATTTGTGTTAAGGGGATGGGTCACAATCATGCCGCTTGCAATAACACACAAAATAAAAACACAAGCTATAAAGATATATCGAAATAACAAAATTCTCCGGGTGACTTTGAGATACCACCTATCATCCTGGCTAAGCAATGCCAATGCGCAAGACCAAATTAGGTCAATCCCGTAGAAATAAGGGCCGTTACCCGTCAAAATACTGGGTCACACGCATGTACTGAAGCTAGAACGGTGTCCGCTCAAATGAATGAAATGTTGCATTTTCATTAGTGTCGATCAGATTAAACTACGCGTCTTATACCCTTCGAATTCTTAATATTGAGACGGTGACTCATTCCGTTAACTTCTAGACCTTCTAGATCTAACATTAAGCATTCGTCACGTTAGCGGACACCCCCTTCCTTTTTCATTCGATAATTTCGGCAATTTTACGTACAAATTTAAAATGTCACACATTTATACCTTAACCCATAGTAATTTATTGCTTCAAAGTATAAACAAGCAGTAAAAACACCTACCATTTTGACAATTTGTGATACCTCCGACTTGAGACTGACTATCAGAGTTTAACTTCCTTATCCGAGAGAAGGCTTACAAGGGTGGCAGGCACTTCTTTCGACCGGCTATTTATCCGCTGGGACTTTCGAACAGCAAATAAAATGCTATGATTGGACAAAAATACATTTGCTGCGTAACGTTTACATCACTTTTGAAAATTACATATAACTTGAGTCGAAGTCGTATTATTCTGGGGTGTTAGAAGTTCAAAGTGCAGTATGAAGACTCAGATACAATGCATTATTTATTTTAAAAGCACAGCAAATTGCATCGTGTACTTAGGCAAGACGATCTACATTTATGTGCGCACTTACATGATGTAAATCGTCAGACATGCCTTCTTTACCACGTGACTGCGGACTGCCTTAGCAAGAACTTGCCTTATATGGTTAGGCGTATAAACTTCACTATTTCACGGGATATCACAGACTTGAAAATATATTTACTTTAATTCATAGGTAGATAAAGCG